GGTCCCCTGAGCACTGGCAGGAGTATTTCCTGAGTGCAAATCCAGGAGTAACCCCTGTGCATCGCTGGGTGTGACCCAAAAAGAGTTCAACATGGGTGAAGATATTGGGTTCATCATCAGTGCAGATGTTGGTAGTGAAGCTAGACCTTAGTGTTTAATATTATTCTTTTCTCCCTAGGCCCTGTGAAGCATTAGGTTCTTTGCGTTGGAGGCAGAGAAGCCAGCTCCATCAACAAAGGAACTTTGAGAGATGTCACCATTTCAGTGACTTAGGGTAGTCTAATTATGGTTATGCTACCATATGCTGTTTTTTGCAGTGTGTATCTGTTTTGTGTGTGTTCATGTATAATAGAAATACTACAATTCAAGAACAATGAGTGAGCAAATCAAGGCCACAATAGTTTGAAATTAGCAGTAATCTGATTTTTGCATAATCCTTGCACTGTTTCAGGGGAACTTCTGGGGAGAAACTACCTATAGGGGTTAAATCCAAATTCAGGCTCTTTAGACTATTTCTGTCCACAGTCTATTCAGGAAATAAACATCTATTCCTTCTGAAATGAACGTGTATTTCAGAAGACTAGCCATCAGATAGTTTCTGCCCTTCTCACTTGCAAATGTTTAGCTTTTTTTTTTTTTGGTGAGTTGACTGCAAAGTTCATCCAGGCTGAGGGGGGGGGGAGGGCGGTCAGGAGGGTAGGAGTGGCCCTCCTTGACAAGTGCCCATGGCACCACTGTCAGACTTGGAAGTTTCCAGTAGAAGAAGGCAAGAGAGATGGCACAGAGTGTGCTTCCTGCAAGTCTTTTGCTTCAGGCAGTCCCTTCCTCTTGAGAAGCTTTTCAGTCCTTCCAGAGGATGTGATTCCCTACTGTCACCTGTTTTATTTGGCTTGAACATCAGTGCAGATAAACATGCTAGGGAGCTGCAGGTCAGACTGGTGAGACATTCTTGCCACCAGAATGCCCAAGATACATCAAATGGCACTCACTCCAGGAGGGAACACTATGCTCCCATTGTTCATCGATTTGCTTGAGCAGGCCCAGTAACGTCTGCATTTTTTGAGACTTGCTGTTACTGTGTTTGGCATATTGAATATGTCATGGGTAGCTTGCCAGGCTTTGCTGTGTGGGCGAGATACTCTCAGCAGCTTGCCAGGATCTCCGAGACGGGTGGAGGAATTGAACCCGGCTCAGCCGGGCTGGCTGCACACAAAGCAAATGCCCTTCCACTGTGCTATCGCTCAAGGAGGGAAATGAAAAGAAATCACAGTTGTCATGGATGTACAGGGGATGGGCCAGGATTTGGGGGAGAATTTAAAAAAGTACCAGGCCTGGCATCTTGCAATTTGCAAAGTGGTAATGTGACACAGCACTGAAAACTAACCTGTCCCTACCCAAAGAACATGGAGTGCAATTGGCACCACTGCAAAGCATCTCTCTTGAAAGAGAGACTTCTCTTTAAAGAGATCTCAGTGCTGTGGATGGGGAGTCTCTCTCCCTCCCTCCCTCCCTCCCTTTCTCTGTCTCTCTCGATGACTGCCCCTCCCCTCTCTCTTGGCCCATTGACCTTAAGATACCAGGAAAGCTGGGAAAAGGCACATTCCAGTAATTAGCTTATGGATCCAAATATAAATACCTTCCGACGGTGCAAGGGTATTTTTCAGAGGGATCTTGAGACTGTTCCTAAGTATGTGTTTTCACTTAGAGCTTGGTTCTTTAGGTCTGTTCAGGCCTATTGATAAATATAGAATTTCACCCAATGTGTCTATAGGTGTGGAAGCGATCGCCACCACACAGCAGGGGCTGCCAGGAGACCTGTGTGAAATCCTGTCCTCATTTCTGTTATATATTCAACCTTCTGAGCCATCACAACCGTCTCCTGACAAGGTTTTTGAACTGCTCCCCAGGGATGTGGCAGGCAAACTCTTTGTGCCAAACTCCAGGGCATGCTGTCTGATAGGAAAGGGTTTAAGTGTTGTAATTTCAGTATTTTTGTTCCTTAAGGGATGAATCTTGACTTTTCTTTATTTTTTGTGCAATATAGATGATCTGTTTCCACCCTGATTTTGTGCCTAAAAGCAACTGACATAGACTCAGCACATTGTCAACCATTTTGTGTTTTAGCCTCCTTCTCCCCACACCTTCCTCCAGACCCCTGAAGAGAACCGTTCCTTGCCCCTGCACCTTTTTCATTTCATTTAGAAATGCAAGAGGAAAGTTAGATTTTCAAAAAAGATCAGCCTACAGGCATAACCCTCACCCCACCCCAGCAACCATTGACATCCAAGAAACAAATTGCAGGTTCAGTCCCCCAAAACTGAAATTTTATTGCTTTGGGCTTAATTAAACCCCGGCTGAAATGTGTGAAAGATTGTTGTGGCTGAAAAATTTTTCATTTGTAAATCACAGGAACAAAGAGCCCCCCCCACCCCCCGCAACTTTCGAGTTTCCGCGCACGTAAATGTCAATAGTGGGCCTTCTCCATCATCAGCACTAAATTCACATTGATGCCTCTTTTCTTCTCCGTATTGATCCTTCCATGAGAACGTAGATTTGTATCTGTTAATTAATGCGTCCTGAAACAGCGTTTGTATTAATCAGGCAGATAAGAAAAATTGGATGCCTGCATCCGCCTGACAACCGTAAAAGTGCTGGTGGTGATAAAATCGTGGAAGGACCTCAATAAAAAAGTTCCTCCGTCCACTCAATAAACTAATCATCCTGCTTTTAATTATTCGGCAGAAAGATGTGTGGAGATGGGGAATGTGTAAATCTATTTACTAACAGCAGTGTCTGGGCGGGAGGAGAGTGCTGTCAGGACCCAGCTCTCTGCCCATCTGCTCCTGCTCCGCTTCGCCTTCTGGGGAGCCTGCAAAGGAATGAGAACGTGCAGCAAATGGGAAAGACGGGCTCCGTTATTTGCTCTTAACTTTCTTGCCTGTGTCATAGCAGATCCGCCCGTTTCATTTACCAAAGGCACACTGCCTCAGTCACCTTTCTTGAGTTAGAGATTTGGATTCACGAGGTCTTTTTTCCCTTCTCTGTGAGGGGGCATAATCACCTTCTTTGAAAGCACATTTTTGTTCTAGTGTGTGGCAATTTTAGCCTCTTCTCGGAACCAAAAGAAAGGGAAGCCAAACTGTTTTCGAAGAGACCCTTCTTTTTTGACTTTGGAATACCTGTTTGAAATGTTCCCAGTTGCTCTAGCTGGGATTTTAAAAGAAGGCTTGCTCATTCACTCCCACATTCAATGACAAAAATTCAAAGAATGATAAAAGGAATAAAGACTCACTAGCCAATACCATGTAAATGCTTTTATTTTCCACCTCATCGAAGAGTTCTTTAAGAAAATCTTAACTAATCTCTCTTGATGATTTTATTGAACTCAAAGAGTTAAGGATACCAAATGGCAAACCCACCAGCTTCCTCAAAGTCCAGGAAGTCATTTCCCTTTCCTTATTGTGAGGTGGCTTCTAATGAATAGCCCATGGAATAGGGACAGGCTGATAGGAATCAAAATGACAACAGCAGCAAGGACCATGATGAAGAGCCTGCAAAGGCTGGGTAGCAATGTAGTCATGATTTGGGGTAAGAGATGAGGAGAAAGAAAGAAAAGAAAGACAGAATTTTTATAAAAAGGTGTTTTGTATGTTGCATTTATAAAATGTCCTCCCTTTTCCCAGAGCACTGGTGTGAAGACCTTAAATCATGGTGAGTTTGTCAGCAGAACAAAAAGGGTGGTTGATTACCTTGAAATTCCTTGGGCATAACCTTGGAAATGAAAGGGAAGTTTGAAGAAATACTTCTTTTTTAAGGATTGTTGGGGGAAGTCTGTGGCTGATCTTCGTTAAGACTGCCTCCCTGGACGCTAACTTTGAATACTCTGGGAGAGAGAAATGTGTATCTTTACTTCGAAGGAGGTTTAATTATACTACTTCAGTTCTCCCTATTGAGCCACATTTTCTTCCTTTTTGCATATGGGTTTTTTTTTGCATATGTGTTTTTCTGCATATGCTTTTTGGCATATGTTTTCTCAAGCTCAGAAGGGAATGTAAGCATGCATATGTGAATTCGGATCAGATTTTCCATAAAGAATTGAAGCAGTCATCCATATACTTCAGGTTCAACATTTATATAATGTAGTTACGCTTATTGAGCTCCTATTATAAATTAGTGCTTTGCTGGTTTTTATTTTTATATTTCCCCAAACAAAAATTAGGCTACTGCTTGAAGTGTATAATAGCTCAAAGCCAAGCGGAGTCAATATTTAAATTCAGAATCTGGCTCATTTCGTATCATCGCTACCAAACCCAATGTTTCCCTCTTTGACTTTTTTAGTGATTGGATCTCAATACCAAGAATAAACAGTGGCTCTTTGCTTTTATGAGGAGACCCCAAACTGCTTAGACTACATTTCTTTTATGCCAGCAATTAATGTTTTGAAAATAAATGCATGTTAAAGATCACTGGAGACACTCTTCATTTAGGAAGGCCCGTTTAAGATGTAAGCATAACCAACTTGCTTGGTGCCTAAGACTATCTTAGAGAAAGGGTTCTAAGTTACTCTCTGCTCTGGTGCCTGCATTGTTTCCATCTATTTTGTTTAGTTTTTGACTTTTGTTTTTAAATCTTGTGTTTTATTATAGTTTTTAGAAATGAGATTGTTAAAAATCTGGCTTCTTATAAAACTTTCACTATGACATAGTCAGAAATCAAGTCCATTTCAAGACTGGTATTTTATTTCCAAGCAAAAAAAGAAAAAGCTCAAATGGCTTCTCTGTTATCTATCCCTTGGCTGTGTGGAGAAAACAGGAGTAGTTTGCAGTTCTTTTGTAACGTTTGCTCTGCCATTGGCAGCATGATGGAGGGAGAGTTTAAGGAGAAGCTCTCACTAAAGCTCAGCATAATTCACTGATGGGGTGTAGCTACCATATGAGACTGATGTTGCATTATGAAAAGAAGGCTTAAAAGTAACTTGATCTGCCCATCTTCCCATGCAGGCTTCTCCACACTGTCCCTGGCGGATCAGATGAGCCTCCTGCAGAGCGCTTGGATGGAGATTTTGATCCTTGGTGTCGTATACCGATCGCTTTCCTTTGAGGACGAACTTGTCTATGCAGATGATTATATAATGGATGAAGACCAATCCAAATTAGCAGGGCTTCTTGACCTCAATAATGCTATCCTGCAGCTGGTAAAGAAATACAAGAGCATGAAGCTGGAGAAAGAAGAGTTTGTCACCCTCAAAGCAATCGCTCTTGCTAATTCAGGTTGGCATGTTGACATGCTCTTTCTGGCATTGTTTTTAATATGTTAGTTTTACTCCTTTCCTTAACTTCATCTTTCAGGACTTGAGACCCAGTAACATAGAAATGATTCAGTAAAGTTATGGTCACTACGGGCTGGAGCAATAGCACAGCAGTTAGGGCGTTTGCCTTGCATGCAGCCAACATGGCCAACCCGAGTTCGATTCCTCTGCCCCTCTCAGAGAGCCAGGCAAGCTACTGAGAGTATCTTGCCTGCATGGCAAAGCCTTGCAAGCTAAAGCCTGGCAAACCACCCGTGACATATTCTATATGCCAAACACAGTAACAAGTCTCACAATGTTACTGGGCCCGCTCGAGCAGATTGATGAACAATGGGAGGACCGTGACCATGATGGTCACTACAGCTTTCTAGTGAAAACATAGAAATCAGAAAAATCAAATTGGAAGTGTTTTATTCTATTTGGAAGTTGCAAAGTTTCGGCTACCTTTCTCATGCGCTTTGGAACTTAGGGAAAGCAATAGCTCTTGTGAGAACAGTATGTATGGACAGTCCAAGGAAAAGATACACTCCTTGTCTTGTATGTACAAGTGAAAGTAAGCGAATGTTAAATATACCATAACTTCTTCATGTACCACCACCCCACCCACCCTGCCCAGCAAAAAAAAAAAAAATCTGCTTCTGGAAAAGAATAATCAGTGTTCATTTTCCTTCTGGCTAATAGAGACTAGTATTTTCTCACATTCCATAATCCTTTAGGCATCAAATTCTGCTGAAGACATCTTTCCCTCAAAGGTTCTTCTTGTGCATTAAGGTTTAAGAATTATGGGAATAACGGTTTTTCCATTTGAACTGAAATGTACTAAAATAGGGAGCAATCTCTGATAAGTAAAAATCGTTGGTGCTTTGTTGTTTTTCCCTTTGTGCCTCTCCCACTGCTTTATTGTGGTCTTAAGTCTCTTTTAGCATTTGCATAAAGTTCAGGATAGATCCCTCCTTAATGGTGTGCTGATCATTAGATACCTCATGTCAATAACATGCTCTGAAGCTATGTGCCATTGACAGTCACACGTGCCCCTCCATCTGCTTTTGTTTTGACCCTATCTTTGAACTTTATCTTGGTTGCCGGCCAGTAGTTTTCCCTTTAATTACAAGAAGGAAACTGTCAATAAAATCTGTTAAATGGGATGCAATGAGTGGCTTGAATGGGCGGACGGCTATTTGTTCAAATTCTGCAGCATTCAAGGTATTGACAGTTTGTTTTCTGGGGCCATATGTGACGATCAATCTCAGGCTGGGCTCAGCCGCGCTGAAAAATGAAAAACCAGATTGCTTTTGCTTACTTGTGGATGACGACTTTGTGATTTGGTGTGGTCCTAAGTGAGCCGAGACCTTCTGCCCAAATTGCCCCCGTGAGAGTAAGGGATGCGTGACTGTTTTTAGAAATAATTTTAATTGATTTTGTAATTAACAGTTCATCTACAATATTGATGCACGAATCCTTGGACTGATAGGAGGGAAATTGTTTTCAACAATGAAGTTGTACTTTCCTATTTGTCTTCATAATGGACTTTAGCGTTTCACACTTTTAATTGCAGACATAGCCTTCCCCATCCCCCCACTCCTGTCCCAGCCCCCATGCTGTTCACCTCTCTGCAACTTTTCCACTGGGAAATTGGAAAATATGATTTTGTATCACTGTGGTTACAAACCATCAAGAACCCTTTGTCTGATCCCAGAAGACCAAAGTGGGAAGAAGAGATAGACATATTTCTGACATAGATATATTCATTTGTGTGGATTTTACATGATAGCATCTTCCAGTAGGGCGAAAGATTTTGTGGGGAAAGATCTAATTTGGTAATCATAAAGCCATTCAAGTTTAAAACATCGACTTGGTCAATTATGTTTAAAATATGTAAGTATGCTTTATGTTGTTCCAAATTGCTTTTATGACTTACTCACTAACCAGAGCTGCTGAGTTTTATAAAAACATTGCCATTAAAATTGCTAAAATTTTTATCATTTTAGATGTTAGGTGTATACTTCTTTGCTGTGGATTGGAATGTCAAGTCTATGGATTAATTAGCAGTTTCTATCTCTGTTGTTTAGAAGTAAGATCATTAATTTCATGATAAATAAATTTTTGGATCTCACATGCTCTGCTCTTGTTGGAGGTGACCTACTTTGAAGGAATGACTAGTGCTTAGAAAGACTAATAAGTGGTTAGTTTTTCTTCCTTAAAGCCAAAATTAATTGAGTCCTCTCTTTTTTCTCTTCTCATAGTAGTAGTGAGTTTTATTTGTTTTTCTCAGGAAATGGCTTCTTGTCTCAAGATACTCCTGAAAGTGACTAACATTTTGTAAAGCTTTTTAGTACCAAGAAAATCTTAATTTTGTTAACTTTCATTATAAAAGAGAAATGACAAAGTGCTGCTCATGCTTTTGGATGGGGGTTGTTTTGTTTTCTGGCCACACCCCAGTGGTGCTCACTACTTACTCCTGGCTCTGTGATCAGGGCTCAATTCTGGTGAGGCTCATTGAACCATATGTGGTAGTGCCAGAGATTGTGCTGAGGTTATCCCTGTGCAAAGCAAGTGCCTTAACCCCTGGACTAACTTTCTGAAAATTAGAGCGTTTTCATGTCTAAAATGTGTTGCTTCTCCTGTGTTGTATAAATAATCCCACTCTATCACTCATCACATTGTCATTCCAATCAATCTCCATATTAGCTTGGTAGAAGTCACTTAGTCATTTTTTTCACATACTCTCATTCTGATGCTATTTTATTTTTTATCTTTATTTGTGAATAACAATAGTTTTCTAGATTCAGTTTTGTTTAAACCAAGGATAGATTCCTTCAATCATTTATAAACACATCAGTGTGATCAGATTTTAGCATATGGAAAGCACTATGCTATGCTAATCCTTCCCATAGGCACCAGAGAAAGCACATAGATTTTTTTTTCAGTATTTAGACATTTCAGATGAACATGGTAACTCTTATATAAAAATATGCATCTGTGTTAATATAATTTACATGGGCATCTTAGCCCTCTGTCTTTTTTTTATATTATAAAGTATTTTTTTTTAATTTTTATTAGTGAAACACCATGAGGTACAGTTGTAGATTTACAAATTTTTGTGCTTGGGCTTCAATTATACAATGATCAAGTACCCATCCCTCCAGTGCCCGTTTTCCACCACCACATATCCCAGTATCCTTCCCACCGCCAACCCCCCATCCCACCCTCCTTCTATGGCAGGGCATTCCCTTTTGTTCTCTCTCTCCTTTTGGGTGCTGTGGTTTTCAGAAGAGGCATTGAGTGGCAATCATATTCGGTCCACTTTCAGCATTTAGCCCTCTCTCTGAGGTAACAGACATTAACAACCATCATCTCATTTATCTAAATTCCAGCTTCTTTTAAACACCTGTCTCTGTTCAATAATTATAAATGTTGTTCTCATACTTGGGAAGTGGTGAATTGGACTCTTGGTAATAGATGTTATGTAATAGCTGTTATAAGTCCCCAGAGCAGGGACTTTATCATAGTACATATATACTGGATACTTTCTATCGTCAGATGTTTGGCCAAAAAACTCCACATAGTATGAACTAGTACTGTAATTCTCACCTCCAAATATTTGAATAATTTATCTATTTATTTTTGAAGATAAGAAACTTAAAAGTCATTTAACCTACTTTGAGTGTCCAAACCTGTTACTATCAATGATTGCTAATTGTGTAATTACTTGTGAGATTCAAACAGGAAAATCTAGGTTATTATTATCGTTGTTGTTGTTCTTGTAATAGCTAGATATTAGCTACCTCATATAAACATTAAGAGGTTAGATAGGCTGTTTTCTTAAAATTCTTCCATTTTGAGAATACTATCCTTACTATTTTTCCACCTCTATTGGAAAGTATAGCAAAATATTACCCCAAGCATTTTGTATAAGTTTGTATCATCAGATTCTGTTCTCCAAATTGGTTCTATTGATTCTTCTATGTCAGTTTGTTTGGAACTATAAACATTGGCTCCAGGTAATATATTCATCTCAATGTAGCAGATTAAAGCAGTGAAGGATTAAAACTGACTTTTTATTCAGATCACTCATGTTTTCTCAACTCCCTGTACCCGCTACTTGTCAACACTTGCCGTGTTGTGATACACCCTTGCTTCCGTTTGCAACTCCAGCACCCAGCCAGAATCTATCTGATTAAGTTGACTTTTCCCTTTTTATTTTTACCCAGTATTTTTGGAATAAGAGTATCTATCTATATAAAGCTGTAAATGGAATTTATGTCATGAAATTTGAATCCTAAATCATTGTTGCCAACTCTGGGCTTGTTTTCATCCTTGTTGTTGAGGACATATGAAATGTTTTCAGAATTGTGGGATAGCTCGTGATTGCTCTGGAAACCTGGAGTGCAGGAAACCTCTTGAGTAAGAACCACATGGGGTCTTAGGCTTAGGTCTTAGACTTCATCTTTCACAAGCTTTCTCATTTGTTTGTTTATTACACCCTCTCTAGATGGACAATTTAGATATGATTATCTAACAAGTCCAACAAGAGATAATACCACAAATCATACATATATATATATATCTTTATATACTATACACAAATGCATTCTATCTAAAAAAAAAACAATTTTTTCCTATTTCCCAAATTTCACATCCTTTGAGAATGCATTGTTTTAGCCTCTGTTTTCTTTGTGAAATGAGGCAGATTAATGATGTAATGTCCAATCTTTCTTAACTGGCCTCAAAATTCCATGTTAGTTGCTTTTCAATGAAGTGAGTGAGTTTGCTTATATATTTTGTGGGTGTGTATTTATAATGTAGAAATAGCAACATCTTTATCATTTTAAACAATGAATGTAAAAGTGATAGCAACTTTCATAATTTTTGGATCTTCATAAATTACACTAGGCTGGAGCAATAGCACAGAGGGTAGGGTGTTTGCCTTGCATGCGGCCAAACGGGTTTAATTCCTCCACC